ATATGGCTGCAGCCACGTTGGTACGGACACGCACCAACTGAAGGAAAGAAAAAGGGCGGGCTACAGGGCGGGAGATGTAACATTGCCTTCGCAATGCTTTGGCTGGCTGCGGCGCATCAAGCAAACTCAGCAGAGCAACAATTGACAATCCGAACCCTGACCAGTAACCAGCCATTCAGACTGTAAGCATTATTGCTCAAACAAGTTTGCAACATAAGTGGTTGAGGCACGCAGTCTCTTTTCAGACGGCGTGGAAACTGTACGCAGGCAACACAAGGACACTGAATGTTCAGTGGCTACCTGCATCTCCATTGATCTGGCACCATCGATCTAGAAACTAGAAGGAACGTCACGGGGATGCGCCGCGCAATTCCCTCCATTGCGTCTGGCACTTTGCAGACAACATGTGGTAGCAGCGAGGCGACCACGGTTTGCCAGTGTCGCAAGCATCTAGCCAGCCCTTTCCAAGATCTGGTTCAAAGCAAGCCACGGTTACAGGCGGTGCGCCATCACTTTGTTAGCACAGCTACTGGCTTGCACAAGCGCAGGTGACCTCTGCCACCTTTACTCAGCAGCCATTGAACGTTGTCTGGTTCAGGCGCACTCTTGCTTGGAGAGCCGGAGCCATCAGAATCTGAAGAGCAAGAACTTCCGCTGCTGGATGAAGAGCTACGGCCCCCCTTGCTGGTTGTTTCCGCCAAGCATGTTGCAGCAGACCCCATTTTTAAAAGCTGAGAGGCACGCCTCGAAGGGAAAACCTCACTTAGTTTGTCCCACCCTAGGCTAGTCTGCACGTCAGAGTTCAACACGCTCCGCACGACGCACACCAGTTCAGCGTTGATGCAAAGGCTGGCGCGCAGCTTTTGGTCGGGATAGCGCAACGGCATATTGAGATCAGCAGCCTCCCCACGTGCGCCCTTCCAGTCGCCCACGAGCAACATTTCGCGCAAATCTAGTCGGCACAACTCCGAGAGCGTTGGAAGTACTCTTCTTGCAGAATATGATGTTAGGTCGGCCGCTTCTGTGCTTGACAAATTGAAGGGAGCACGCTGAAAAAGATGCTGGCTCAGTCTGCCAAAGCGGCCAAGCGACATAGGCCTACTGGCGAAGCCAGTAGCAGACTGCAGCGTACACCTTTCGGGCAACAAGTCTGGCAGAAAGTAACCCAGCTGTTCTTTTCCTTTGAACGCACGACGCAGAAAAGCATGAATAGCTGCACCAATGTCAAGCCCTGTCGCACCCCAGCGTGGAGCGCGCCAATCAAAAGGTCTTTGCCGACCGTGAGCGCGCCGTTTTCCCAGAGATGCTTGAGCAGAGATTGCATTATCTAGTACTTGGATTATCTTCGAACGCTGCACGTGAGCAAAACGTAGCACGGCGTTCTTGCTTGACACCAGCATCTCCGACCCAACAATGAAGGCCAGAGAAAGAGGCTTGGCCTGCGATTCAACATGTGAGCTAGGCACAGCTGCTCGGTCTCGAACACGCGAGTTCGAAGTCTGAAAGTTAATGCCGATTTTATTCTCCAGCCACTTGAGTGAACTGTAGGCCCCATGAGGAGCAGTGGGCCCGCGCTCCCGAAGTGAACGCAACCAAAGGGCAACTTGAATGCAAGAGGGCGTCCACGGCGATATGTTGCTATCTTGGCAATGCGCACGCCAACGCCGAGCAACCCGAAGTGCCGCTTGGGGCGTGGTTACAACTATGATGCACAGGTCGTCAGAAAACACGGCAGCAAACTAGCTGTTCTTTTGCATCGCCACTTAGCAGCGAGATGTAAACCGCTGCCAGCGACTTCCAAAAAGAGCACCCACAACTGCTTCGACCACAGCTCTGTCGCGCTCATGCAAAAAGTTCAAATGCAACTGTGCTTCCGACAGAGAAGAGGCCACCAGCTTGCGGCGCTTCCCGATGCCCGGCGAAGTATTCACACTGACATTGTTTTGACGAGTTGGTACGGCGTTTCCGGCGTGCGAACCGGCCGGTACAAATACAGAGTTACGAGCGTCTCTTGAAACCTGGCGCACCAAAGCAGCATAGGATCCTGGCGATGCCGAATATAGGATAGCAAGTTCATGGAACACGCTGTCATCAGCAGCATTAGCGACAGCTGTGATGAAATCTCCAGAAGTGTCCCAAGCATTAATGTTTATAACGGACGTGATGCCACTCCTTTGGATGCAGGTCCGAGCTTTGTCGCTCATCTGGTCAACAAGCCATTGCAGCCTTGGAGATAACACGATTCATCCTTTGGATTATTCTCACAAATGGTTTGAGAACATTGCCTTCGCAGTGCTTTGGCTGGCTTGAGCCAAAATGGCCATTCAGATTGTAAGCAAACCCGAAGCTCCAAGCCAAAGCTTTGGATCTTCACCCTCCAAGGGTCAGGGTTTAGGGTTTAGGGTTTTGGTTCAAGGGGATTTTATTCATTATAGGGATAACAGAAGTTGCTATATGTTTTTGAAGGGCGGTTATAAATACCCTTCCTGCTACTCCTACTACTCCAATGTATGATGGTAACTAATACCTAAACCCTCACATCTTAAACCCTCAACTCTGAGCTTTGGATCTTCACCCTCCAAGGGTCAGAGTGTAGGGTCTATGAGTCAGGGTGTAGGGTTTCGGGTTCTGAATCACGGGGACATATTCATTATAGGGATAACAGTTAACAGAGGTTGCGTTTTAGGGGCTTTAAATACACTTACTGAGTCCGCTTGACCTTCCAAGTAAGGCAAAATCGCGAGCACCCAGCCCAAGTAGGGACTGCAATAATGAGGTTGGTCTCCATGTTATAGAATTATAACTTCTAAACCCAAAGGATCCGAAAACCTTAAACTTTAAACCCTAGACCCCTGAAGTTCACATGTTTGCCTTTGCTTCAGAAAAAGAATTTGAGGATGGGAGTTTCCACATTTGTACTTGGGGCTGCGGCTTGGTTTAAGGTTGGTAGGAAGCCGGACATGCCCGATAAAATGGATCTAGAAAGGGACCGAAAATCGGTCCCTTTTTGGCAAAGTCCGAAGAAGAAAGTTTTAGCCTGTCTGAACACATGTCTGGGTTTTCCGAAGCCCCAGCTGGTTCCGTTACTCAGGGCCCAGCGGCCCTGTTATGGAAACCTGCCGGTTCCTGTTACGGAATTGGGGCCGGTTCCTGTTGCACTCCACTATTACGGACTTCCTGGTAATTCCAATCCTCCAAGTGACCCACCCACCCCCCCGGAAGCCTAGATTCGAGTTAAGAAGAGGCTGCTCATTCAATGTGAACCATGTGGACTCAGGATCCTGCGCTTGGTCCCTCCATCGCAGGATGCTGAGCAAACCGACCAGTCCCACCACTCCTCAGCTTGGCCAAAAAACTCCAGAACAATGTACACATGCATGATATTCCAAGGACCATGAACCTCAAAACCCATACCCCAAACTGCAAACGAAGCAGGAAATCCTAGCTTGCACCAGTACGCTTTCGGGAGCCAACGAAACCAAAATAGAAACACAAAAAACAAAGGGTCAGAAGGAAACACTCAGGAAACACATCGACCTCTTGAAAGGAACAAAACGGAAACGATCAGGATCATGACAGGAGGCGATGCAGCAAAATGCGGTGAAAGGCGGACTTGGAATCACAACAGCCTCTTCATGCTCAAAAACTGGCGCCAAATGCGATTGCCATCGGACCCACACAGTGGGTGACTCGCTTTTCATCTGCTTTGAAATCCGAAAAGCCCTAATCTAAAATTCCATCGCATGGATGGACCGCCCACGGTCGGAGAGTCTGGCTTAATTCCTCAGCTACATGCTTTTTTTCCAGCTAATTAAGGCCACTTTAAGGCCGGCTCTGTGATATTCACATGGGTGATGCGAGCAACGCGGCAGAAATAGATTTTCCGCAATTTCCTGACGATGATTCGCGGATGTTTAGTTGCACCACGCGGGCGGGTCGACCTATGCAAGGACTGCAAGCTTCAGGGCCCGGGAACCTCTTCGGTGCACGGGACAATAAAGTTCATCAAGGCTTGCCGCGTACTGTTTGTCTTGCCCCCGTAGCTTCTGAGACAATCCTGACTGAAAAACAGGAAGCAGCTTCTGAGCCCTGTACGCTCCACTGGCAATCCACAACCTGCAAAGTTGGGTAGCTCTCCGTCCTGATACTTTCCGCCTGATCTAAACGCGTGCATCCCCAATTACAAAATCAACTTGGCTCCTGTAGAAACACATGCAACAGCATGCAACAGCATGCAACAGCATGGAAAGCAGCTAATGCCTCGCAGGTCTGCATCTGACAGGAGGATAACTCTTGGGTGGCCCCTTCGCCTCGAACAATCAAAGTTTGCGGGTGCTGATGATGATTCATGCAAAACTCAAACCAAGGATGAAGCAACCACGGCCATCACCCGTCGCAAAGACTGCAACCTGCACGACTCAGAAATGATGCTGGTGCTTCTTAACTTGCGCCATGCTCACGGTTTGCTAGACAAAGCTCCTTCACGATTCTCAAAAGTCCTCTGAAATCCATTGGATGATGCGCAAGAGACTGGCTGCGCTGATTGGGTTTGAAGAAACAGGCATTTGGGCGTCCAGATTTAGGCAACCAAAAACCAGCAGCCATGAATGGATGGCATGCGTGCACTCTCTACCCACAAGCTCACGACATGTTAACCGCTGTGGGATCCTTAGCTGTGCTCATCAGCATTTCAGACTCAAATCTGTCACATGCCCACGTTTACTGGTAGGAAACGCAGCCCAAATATGTGACTTTGTAGAGCAGCTGTGTATGATTCAAAAGTCACAGCACAGGCAGATCAGCCAGCAGAGAGCCTTTCTCGTTCGCTCACGGGTGCCCTTTCCGCAAGGTGCATCGCAGGTAGACCTGAAGCCCATCAGGCCCCCTTTCAGTCCTATCACAATGTTCAAGCGAAGTTCATGTTCTCTTCCCTGCCAACCCTCACGTCTAGGACACGGTTGAGACTCCAATCATGTCCCCTTCGCTCCGGCGCTTGCTGCAACCCCACCCCCACTGCAACCCCTTCCCAATGCTGCAGAAACTCAACTGCATGTCCTGTTAGCAAGGATTTACCGATTTCGCACATAAATTTGAAGCTGTCCTGACTTTTGCACAAGACTCCAAATCATGACTTTGAATCACCACAAGGTTCTGGACCTGAGGAATGGCCAGCAAATCCTGCTCTACCAAAAGAGCTCCCTCCTTGATCCCCCTTTCTCAGCTGCCGTCCCTTGGATGACTTGACACACGGAACTGTTCAGGGCCATGATCTGAGACCAGGGCCACTGTCCCCAATGTTCAAAAACACAATCGTTTGGTGCAGGGGATCTGCATTCATCAGTCCTTTGGAATCAGCGCACAAGCACACAAGGCACAGAAGGCCCCAAAAGCCGAGGCAGAGAAGTCGCCCCCGGGTGCCCCGACCCACAGGGTTCTGCTTGATGGAGGACCTGGACATCATCTAACAGCTGTCAGGCACACAAGCATCCACAAACTCGGCTCCGAACAGCGTGGTGACAGAATCCTCCTTCTGTGTTTGGCTTCAACTTGGACAGCGCGGAAAGGGGTTGCCACAATCAACTCCAGTATCGGAAACACGTGTACTGCAAACACTGAAACAAGGAATGGGCAAGTTGTCTGTTTCGGTACATCTGACCACCACCACAAGTCCTCAGTTCAAAGCACTACTGCTGGCTACGCCCGAAACCAAAGACTTAGGCGGCGGCTTTGAACAGTCAGTCCAAGACCTCAGGCTGATAGCAATCAACACCCTTCGTCAAGCTGAGTTCTTCAGCTCCAGTCTAATTACGCATGGCACTGGCAAGCCTGGATTTCAAGACTGAGTTCTGTGAGAAACCTTACCACGCCCAGCCCCAACGCCTGACATTCTGTTCAAGATGTTGTGGTGTGCTAGACAACAATCTTCTAGCGCTTGAAAGCTCCCAGCAACGATTGCCATTGACCTTCTACGAATCTCCACCCACAATCAGGCTGGCAGCAGCACTAGGCCTGCGACGACCACATGCTAATGTCGCAGTCATGTCCAGCCGTGGTGGGCCTCAATAAATCTGCAAATATCTGCAAATCTTGCAAAGAGCCTTTCAGCAGAGATTATTCTGCTGAATAGAGCTTGGCACTGCACGCGAAGCAGGGTACTGTCCTTGGCAAAGTAAAACATCTGACAGCTGACTTTCGGGCAGTGTGATAAATGATGGAAACTAATGCTGAGCTAAGTACTGAATGAGGTACTTGTCACAGGCACCTGAGCAAGGGCTGGCCTCAAACGGCTTGTGTTGTCCGAGAATTGAAGACTCAGTAGCAGGCGACCACCGTTGCTGGGTGCTACTTCGACATTCCGCCTCCGGAACCGTTGCGGCAGAAGGGCCTGCACTACAACGTGCAATTCAGAGAGCTTGCGACACTTCTGATCTCTCTGGGCATGCAACGTCACATTCCGACCATGACGACCAATCGCTGAGCCTGGTCACCAAAACTGAGGCATACTAAATGATTTCTTCAAGTTGGACGGTAGAGCATGAATGCAAACTGTAAAGCACATTGCCTGCAGTCGGTTGGCTGGCATGGTCCGTTATTGCAGGCACCGTTCTCTAGAGAAGCTCCAGAACATGGCGGGCCTCCTGGCAAAGGCAACGGAAAAGCTTTGGCATGTAGCAGATTGACAAATCAACTGCCAAGCTTGCCTGGATCCGACCTTCTTTCAAGCCGCCGCATTCTGACAAAAAAGGCAAATTGAAATCTCTTCTCTCACAGAAGCACAGGAGCACTGCAGCCTCTCGTAGCGACCACTTCCACAAGAAACACTACACCTCAGGCTAGAAATGGCTAGAAGCTGTGCAAAGCTTCAAGTTGCTAAGAACTCCGCAAGGGCCAAACCGACCCCAAGAGCCCCAATGCGACCACCGGCAGCCTTGCGGAGCCTCTCCTGTGGTACACGCCTGGACAATGACACACAACCGCGCCAAAGCAAACTGAGTTCTTCTTCCTAAACATTGGAGCAGATGCCTTGGTCTCCGCCAGGGGACCGTAGCACGGGTCCCTGACATATGGCGCATCTTTATCATTTGTGACGTGGCTCAGCGAACAGTTCACGTTCTACTGCAAATCGGTCTGAGAAGAATTGTGCTGCAATGTCACACTCACTTCGACCAGCACAAGCCCGCACAGGGAGAAAGAAAACAACAAACCGAAGTTGACGAGGAGAGAGTGAACGAACAAAGAAGCCCATTGAGAGTGAGGGAAACGCAGGGACTTCACAAAAACTGCAACATGCAAGCATCGATGGAAAGGGACACATGCTTACAAGGTCACACCGAGTCACACCTTGCGGAAATCTGAGCAAGGCCAAGTACCCCGTGAGGCGCATATGTGGCAGGGCTGAGTCCCATGCCCATCTGGCCCTGCTGGCTCCTCAATCCCCCTGTGCCGCGTCGACTGATCGAAGCCTGTGAAATGTGGATGTTGCCATCCAAGTGATCCAAGTGCGCAAGTCATGGGCGAGTTCACTAAGCTGAACACTCGAATTGCAAGCCGTCCAGGAAGACCAGGCCTCACTGGGGTTTGCGATCATTTAAGAAAAAGGATCCCCTGAGATTGTTGCAAACCTGTGCCACGGGATCAGCTAGATTCTCAAATCTGTACCAGCCCGATAACGAACTGCCAAAAGGCACGCAAATCGTTCGAGTGGCGCATCCTAGGGTTCCCACGGAAAATTTGCAATCGGCCGAATCTTGGTCACACTCTTCCGTAGAATGAGGCAGCACAGCAGACTCCACCTGGCACAAAACATCTTGACATCCTGCTCTAACCTGCAGAATGACTACAAAACCCAAGGCACCGCAGGTCCATGGCAAGGATAACCACATTCGTTGTTGTCAGTTACAACCTCAGAGCATGAGGTATAAATATGAAATCAACATATCACAACAATCACACACAAGCCGTGGACACCTTCCCAGGCCCACGCATGTCTACGACGATATCTCAAACCAGTACACCCACCTGAGGTATACCAGTCCTCGCACAACAAAATGAAACGCACTCTTGTTCCTTTCCTAACCGCCACGAAGCTGCAAGAATGGTGTCCTGCCAAGGACCAAAATGACAATCTTGTGGTACGCAAGGGCCGTCGCAATGTGCAAGATCAGGGCAACGACCCTTAATCACCAATGATTGCTTGTCCAATGCCATTCTGAATTTCTGAGAAAGCGACCCATTCTTCGTCGTACCCACTGCACTCTCGTTCAAAGCCTCATGTAAGCCGCGTTCACTGGCCACGGACAAATGCACAAAACAAGCAACAATGGACTGTGCAATAAGTGTAGCGTTGGCTGAGATCTCATCCGATGTGGGCCGAATTTGCCTGAAACGCTGCAGACCTCATCGTGCTCGTTGCTACTGTATGTTTCAATCCCAATGGCAGCCAAAATTACCTGGAAAAAGTGGAGCATAGCTCAGGCTTGCGCAACATCCTCATGGCAAGGCCAACAGAAGCAATGGACTGAGTCATGGCCTAATGGGTCGCTCAGCTTTACAATTTGACGTGCAGCATTTATGCATCAGCTCCACAACCGCGCAGAATCATGGCCTATGCTTTCCCCTTGCTGCGGCGCGTTGGATCTACGGGGGCAAATGGAAGACGGCATCTTGAGGCAACCAGCTACAAGCACACAAGCAGTTGGTTCCGGCCCTTCTGAAAATCTGTTTCCTCGGCATGATTTACAGCGGAATTGGCACAGATGTGTAATATGTTTACCAACATGAGGAATTTCTCAAAAATGCCATCATGCCTCTCAGTGTCACGATACCAGCCTTCCTGATTGTGCACCACAAATTTCAGACACAACTGAACACAGTCACTTAAAAGGGCAAAACCTATCATCAAATTTCTGCTCAAGCTTACGACATACACGCACATACGCACTCTCTGCAACCGCCCATGCGGCATTGCGAATAAAAAGGTCACAAGTTCAAGAACCAGCCACTAATTAACACACATTTTTCAGGCGCATGCGGATGAATAGAGAACCTTGTCTGAAGAAATGACGCTTTATTCGAGTGCCATGCAAAACATAGGATGATGAAAACACCCAATCACGGCACTATGTCAAACTGGGTGCCATTTCCCAATGCATGTGGGCGTTTTTATTTCATGTTCTGCCAAACAAAACATGGCCATTTACTTGTGGCAAAACATGGTCATCAAACATAAGTTGAAGCGCAAATTTCTAGCGAAGGCAGTACGACATGATAGGAGGTGTCCTTCATATTTCGAATTTTCCTCTTACAGTAAGACACCATCAAGCAATGGTTTGCTATGATTCAGACTGCGCGTTGCGTTGGATATGAGCTTTTTAGCCTCGCCGGCTGAATGATTTGCACAGGCACAACTTGGAGGGAAGGATGCGCATTGTGTTTTCTAGGCGGCTTGGCAGATTGTACCACCATGCGTGGTATCGGTACATCCTGGACGGAAGCTGATGACCATGGTTTACCACCTATCTCGAGTTTGAATGAGTCGAGCAAGGGCTATATCCGCGGCCAAAATCTCTATCGGGTTGATGTATAGCCAAGGACATGTGGAAGAGATCCACGGAAATGGGTGTAAACTTTCTAGACGCAAAGCTTGTGCAATAGCTTCACCACCACCATGCGCATGATTGGGCCATGCGTTTGGGCTTGAAATTTGCCAACGTTAACATCTTCGCGCGTGAGCCCGTGATCCTGCTGACAATCTGGTGGAACCGGAGCCTTGACCCTCCAGGCACTCACGGTGAAACGGTGGGTCCTTGTTTGTATCATTTCTGTCATCATCAGTAAGACCTTTCCAGTCCAATGTACCCACATACCTTCACTATCGGCCACACTCCAAATGCTTGATGACGCTGACTCACTGCATGCCTGCAAACCGATACAAATCGTATGGAGTAGAACTGCTTGACCTTGTTTCCTAGCTGTCGTAGCTTTCTGGGAGCCACTATCGCAAATCACAGAACCATGTAAAAGGCGGTCAGTGTATAAAGAAAATAATTCACGGCAACCGTGCGCCAAATCAACAATGATCCGGTGGGGTCAAAAAGCAGGAAAGGGTAAAGTTGAGTTAGATCAATCAAAGATGTTAAGAACTATCATCAACTAGTGTAATATAACTATGATAACGTAATTTACGAATCAGATTCACTCACAAAGCGTAGACAGAAGCATCGATTTTTCTAGCGAGCGGGGCATGGAGTCGGTGGGCATACACAGAAGAGTGTACACAACCACACGGATCCGGCGCACACACCATCAAATTCAGTCACACCCATACGCAAGGATGGCGAAGCTGAACACAGCTACAGCTGCGGCTCTGCAAGCGTGTTTGGCCACTGTAAACAATTAGTGATGATGACATTCGCAAAACACATCAAATCAAAAACACCAATTCCGCAAAAAAAAGGCAAAGACAACGTGACCGCAAACGGCTTCAACAGAACACCCCTGGTTTTGCAATGTTGTACATATACATGTGCATGCGCAAGTGACCGAAAGTGCGGAAAAAAGAGCTCTATTCTTTGAACCAAACAATTTGAGCCCATGTGTTTCAGGCTTGCATTGCTCAACCTCGCAAGGTCCAGTCCGCATACGAAAATGA